TATATAGATTAAACCTTCTATTTATAGTAGTAAAATTTTCAGGGGTTATATTATTTTAAAAAAATGTACATACATATTGCGTAAAGTTTGCTGGAGGGTTCTCAAATTTACCAGGGTTACACAAAAAACAAATAGTAAAATTATTACTAAAACAGGTAATTACCCAATCAGAGTCATATTTACTATATAAACTGTTACACAAAAAAGATTGACAACGCATATCATATATTAAATGATTTATGTACACTCTACCTTTAAGTGCACCACCATTCTAATTCTATCAAATCATAATATATAGCTCTTTTCCCATTTTCTTGATTACTTTGAACTCATTATAATTGATCCAATCTTTCATTGTCTAATACTTTCTTAAGTTCAAGATTTATATAAACTGATGATTTATTAGTTTTTAAAGACTTCTATTCTTTGTATACTCATAATTTGCACTATGAATGTCTCTCTTTAGGAAGTTGAAGATCAGTAATACTGTCGTCCTCCTCTATAATCGCGCAGTCCGTATCATGCAAATTGTGTGATTGTATAAAGGTTTTTACTATGATGTGCTTATAAAGAAGTATTTTTTTATAAGTTTATTAGTAAAGTGTTGCAGGCCTTGGCGTGATTATAAAAAAGGTTTACTATATAGGAGGAAGACAGTATATGCATTTCACAACTTAGATTGTAAAATGTTTCCGCTGCGCAAATCTCTATGAACGAGCCTCTATAATGGATTGACTTGAGCTCCAAGGCTATATCGTAACCCATCTTTTCTTTCTATATGATATTTATACAAGATTTTGTTGTAATGAACCTCTTGACGCTCAATCCATGACAATAATATAGTCATCATAACTATTTCTTGATACTCCCTGACATCCCAAGAACGAAGGATTCTCGTATCCAATTTCACAATATTTCTGGACTTTTATAATCAATCCAAGATACTTTAAATCTCCTATTAACTAATATTTTCTTAACTTCGGGATTAATATTATCAAGTGGCTTATTAGTTTTCAAAGGCTCCTGTATTTTCTGAACCAATAATTTGAGCTCTGGATATCTCTCTTTGCACTGATGCTGTCTCGATAATATTGAACAAAGCTATGTTGGAAGATTTCTATAGTATTCCAATGCTTTATTATAGTCTTGATCAACACCACGTCCCTATTCATAATGAACACCAACATGACACATTGCTATGGTATATCCCAAATTAGCGGATCTCTTATGATATTCAAATGATTTCTGGTAATTTCTCTCTACTCCACTTCCATATTAATAACAAAGACCAACATGGTTCATCATAGCTGGCCTTTTAAATTGGCTGCTTAAAATAATATTCAAAAGCTTTCTTTTTGTCTTTCTTAGCACCGATTCCATTTTCATAATCGTAACCAAGATCACAAGGCATTAATTTATTCATTTTTGTTAGTAATTAATAGCAATCTTACCCGGTTTCAACCTCTTTGTATCCAATAACGTTTTCTATAGTTAGCAAGACCTTCATCTTGCCCAGGTTCTTCTGTCACGTCGAGGTGTGGTCCTCCGTGTACTTCTTTCTAATCGCCGTGAATATTAAGCTTTCGCCTAATACGCCGTTTGCACATTCTTTTTAGGAAAGTATCTTTTTATCTATCTAATGTTTTTTACTTATTTGTGTATCCTTATGTGCCCCATCACGCACATAAGAGTCATAACTATCCATAAAATTTACATTATGTGTTGTCACGTTCTTTTATCAACAAAAGGATTCCTTATATACTAAAATTCGACTCTAAATTAATTGCATCATAATCAATCATATGATACTTATTATTTACTTCAATTACATCATTAATTAATCATCCGATACTTATCTTTTACATATTTCTTATACGCATTGATCGATCCTTGATTGATCGGTTACATGCATTAAACTATCTACTATCAAACCCGAATCATGATGTCATAGATCCCGTTGCACAATCCCGGACCAATTTTTGCCGTAGAACCGATCTTGACCATAACAATAAGTTAATTCGAACAGTTCCACATGCGCCTATATTATTTTCACGTAGGTAAGTAAAAAGAGGAATACTTGAAAAGTAGTTATCCATGTATATATGAAAAGATTTTTTGCGAGGAAGCTGATTTACTAAATGCAATACTGTACATTCAGCTTTATTAATACCTGTGATTAATTCCAACTCTGTATTATCTTCAACTCATGAGCTAAACATAAATGTGTACGTATATCCAGCATCACAGAGAGAATATATTTTATAACCTTCGGGCACTGGCTTGTTTTTCATTTTTACTGTGTGTATGCTTCGACCTAAAAAACGAACTATCATTTCGTCCACAGAAATTTGTGAACTAGGTACATATGATTTTTTAAACATATCTCGAAAATGGGATACTAGTAGCTCTACTTTAGAGTACCAGTTTGAATGAAGACTATTCGGATTAGAAATGTGAAGAAATCATTTAATTTGTTGGAATCTGAACATTGACATGAATTGTTTAATACTATGTACAGCCTTTTGTTCTTCCGAATTCCACAAATCTTCAATATTGTAAATTTTGTGAACGCCCATGTAAATAACTATTGCTATCCATATCTTTAACTCTTTTAAAGTTAACAAATGCCAAGCATGACTACCTTTTTTTAGCCTGTTAACTCTATTTAATTTTTCGTAACTATTAGTGTTATTAACAATCATTTGCAAATAATAATTAATAAAAAATAGATGAAATAATGTAAGTGGACTAATTGTGGTTTGCTGAATTTCGTATGGCAATGTAGCATAACCCCTATGAAGCTCTTTAACATTTTCCATTGGCTCAAACTCTGGCAATTCTGGAAGGGTCGGTATTTTATTTAATTCAACTTTCTTTCCTTTAATTGTTCCTTTACTTGTATTTTTTTTGCCTTTCCCACCCACCCTACTTTTTTCACTTTTCTTGTGAGTACTTTTGGTACTTTCTTCATATTCAGAACCCGTGGAATCAGCGATATAATCAGTAATATAATCCTGTTCTTGCATTGTAAAAAGATCTTTATAATCTATCGTGTGGTTTATTATTGTCTCCCTATGATTATTACGCTTGAAGGTAACCAAATATTGCGAATCGGGGGAAGAATCATTACTGGTAGCATCAAACTCATCATTAGAAGTGTTATCATTGGCATTACTATCACTATCGGTCATAGTGTAAGCTGTTCTTTTTTTTTTTTTTAATTAACAATTCGGAAAAATTAAAAGTGTCGATCTTTTCGATCTTTTATATTCGAAGAACATTTTCGGAACCTTATCGTCGTTGTTTACAACAAAAATGCATCAAGTCATATGTTACAGTTACATATGCGTGCATTGTGCTACAAACAATAGGGGGTACTTTTAGTAAATTTTAGAGGCAGCACGAAAAATTTGCCGGAAATCTGAAATTCGGGGCAAATTTGCCCCGAATACAATTTAAGGGATAATAATTTGGCCAGTATTATTTACATGATCCTACCCAAAATTAGTCGTGTTTGAGTATAACATAAGCCAACTTGATAATAACAGATAACTTATAAATATACGACAAATTAAAATTTAGTAAATTTAATAATAAAGAAAATGTACCCATGATAGTGATACGTACTTGCTATTATGGAGCTCATATAAACTTGACCATTACGTTTATGGAATCATATCTGATATTGCTAGAACTTCCTGACTCGTTTAAAAAAAAATTTAAGAAATGACGTACAATGCGAAAGAAAGAAAGAAAGAAATTTCACACGTAACTTTAAGTAACTCATAAAAGTACAAAAGTATCAGTATCAGGTATGCAATGTACTTAAACAGGTGATACGTTAATCTCAACAATAATGTCAGCAGTAGGTTACGCCTAAAACCAATGTATGTACGCACATACGTACGACATCCATTGTAAATAATTAAAGTAGTTTCATACACTATTGGTCATGAAGCAATTGCCAAATTATGATCGTCATGCAGATTTTCTATGATTTTTTCTAATAATACAAAATTTATTTGAATAATATCTCTACAAAGTATTATTGACATTTTCAATTGAATTAAATAAAGACGCATAGGTTAGACTTTTATCAAATTATTACTTTATTTTTTTCTACAGCCGTCACAATATTAAAGAAACTTCGATGAAAGTTATTGAACACATGACTAATCACATGATTTTGTCACATGTTATTCGGATAGCTTAATGGGTATGGATTAACGATATGTTTTATTACCGTTACTTTAACATTCGTATCATTATTCGATCGAATTGAAAATTTCAAAATCTGATGATATATGTTTTGTCCAAAGATTTCTTTGCGTCCAATAGGAACTGAATATTACTCTATCTATATTTCCGGCCATTATATGCTCTATTAATTATACAAAATTCGTCCTGATATGCGAATATGCTATCGCATATGCTTCTGCGGTAAAATCAGATTTATGCGAGATTAAGTTAGGAGTAGGATTATATAACTTTATTTTTAAAATGTTAAGTTATCTGTTATGTAAGTTACCATGTACGTACGTAAGGTAAGTTATATAGATAATAACAAATTTTCGTTCTTTAAAATAACCTTAATACTGGCTAAATTTATCCTGGCCGGCATTAATACATTAACCATAGCTGCCGCAACAAATTTGGACCGGTAGATTCTCGATTTTGATTGGCTAAGAGCGACGATAAAAAGATTAGGCCGGAATTACTCATAATTTTACTAATGAAATCATAG